GTGTTGAAGTAAATTGTTATAGAAAATTACTATGCTACAGTTGCTTATTTATTGTCATTTTATGTTAATTATGTTTTTATTGCAGATGCTGAAATTAAAGAGGCACATGAAGGTGATAACAACATTAGGAGGATCAATGAGGAAAAGAAGACAAGTGAGACAAATCTGAGGATTATGTGTTAAGATGTATTAAAAGAGAATATGATAAGAAGCAAAGCCAAATAACATACTCCGTACTTGATAAATGTAATAAGTTGAATTATATATGTATTGTAATAGTTTTATATGTTATCTTTTGTTGTTTTTTGTTGTATTATATTTGTTTCTTTGTGTTGCATTGTGTTTCTTGTTGTTGCTTTTTGTTGCATTATATTTGTTTCGTTTTGTTGCATTGTGTTTCTTGTTGTTACATATTGTTGTTTATAGTTGAATTTGATTTTAGTTGTTTATTTAGGTTCTTGCTTATATATCTTTGCTACTTCTTTGGAATCAAAAAATCATTTATAGATGTGTAATCAACAATAATAAACATACAGAAACACAAAGAAACAACATGCAACAAAAAAATAACAATAAAATGATAATAAGGATTAAACTTAGTAGCTCCTTACAAATTTATTAAAAATCATACTTTGTAATATTTTCAACTTTTTACATTTACTAATTTAGATTTTTGTACATTTGGTATTCGAGTTTGGAATTATTACCTTTTCTGAAAAAGTTAAATACTTTTTTACCTTTTTTATTATTTATTTTATATATTTTATGTTTTTCTTTGTTTTTTAGTTGAATTCTTCTTTTGTGTTTTAAAAAATTTCCCCCATAATCAGTGTTTATTTTACTTTTGTTAAGTATTGTAATTTTTTTCATTGTTTCAACATTTTTATAATTTTTTACATTTTTGCTTTCTAGTTTTGATTTTAAATAAAAAAAATAAAGTAATTCTTCAGCTTTGTCTTATATTTTGGAATCACAAGAAATAATGATCTTATTTTAAGCTATTATAGATTTACAAAGATACATATTTTTATATTTTGTTTTATTGTAATCATTTTTACATTTATTTTCAGTTCATTGATTTTTCAAAATTTACAAATTTTCAACGTAGTGAAAGGAGTAAAGGGTCAGTTTGGTCCTCGAAGTTGCAAAAAAGGCGTCAAATAAGTCCTTATATAGAAGATTCTGTCCGGACGTGCCATTTGAGGTGGCTCCCGGTGGAATTTTGTGATAAATTTTTTTGATCATCTTATTCATTAAGTCTAGTTTACTCATACCGAATTTCAGCTAAAAATTCATTCGGGAAGACATTCAAATGAATTCTTGAAGATAACAGCGCTTTTAACGACACAGTTATCTTCAAGAATTCATTTGAATGTCTTCCCGATTGAATTTTTATCTGAAATTTGGTATGAGTAAACTAGACTTAATGAATAAGATTCTCAAAAAAATTCATCAAAACATTCCACTGGGAGCCACCTCAAATGGCACGTCCGGACATAATCTTCTATATAAGGACTTATTTGACCCATTTTTTGCAACTTCGAGAACCAAACTGACCATTATCCCGTAGTGAAAGTGTACGGCTTAAGTGCCTTCAACGTAGTGATAGTATTACAAAATATGACTTCTTAAGGCTTAAGTTGCTTAAGGCTTAAGTGCCGTTAAGTGCCGTTACTACCGTAAGCAGGCTTAAGGCTAGGGTGTTCGGTACGGTATACCGCATATTTTATCGCATACCTTTACCATACCGTAAACTTTCGGTATGAAAAAATACATATTGTTACCATACCGAAATTTCGGTATACCTTGTTTCGGTATACCAAAATTTCGGTATGGTAAGGTACGATATCGGTAAATTATCATGATTTAATATAACAAATTATTATATGTTAAATGAAATAAAGAAAATCAGTGTTAATAGTGATATACTAAAATCATTAATGAAATTAATTATAAAATGCCAATGAGATAACCTATTTGTGTTCTATTCAACTTTGAACAAAAAATATTATAAATATGTATAGATATATATATTTCAACACATGATATATGAAGATAACAACACATTCTGCTAAAATGATTTAAACAACATAAATATATTTAGAATAACACCAATATCCAATAAAAAGTATAAATAATTCAAGAAACATGGATATAAAGTGATTTATCCTTGAATTAGTGTTGTGTTTCTAGTTATTTTTATAATTTTAAGGAAAATATTGACTTGGAATTACGGTATGACGGTATACCGGTATACCGTTCATTTCCAAAATATATACCGATACCATACCGAAGTAATTCAGTACGATATCATACCGTACCAAAAATGTCGGTATACCTAACATTTCGGTAAATTCGGTATTTTTCGATATGATAAGTCCGGTATACCAAAGTTTCGGTATTTTTTCCCACCCCTACTTAAGGCTATTCCTGAAAAGACATCTTTGCTTAGTCTATTTTTGAAAGAAACTTTCAAAAGTGAAAAAAGTGATATTACTTTTAGTTTTTAGTGCATTTGTGAAAAATTCTCATTTTACTTCCATATGGATTAATTTTCTCTAATATGATAGAATAAGAGATAAAATGTTTATACTTTTCAAAAAACTCAAAAATGAAATTAAAATGTATCTTATAAAATAGGACGACGGAAGTAATATATGAGAAAAATGTAAATATTACTACTTAATAAATACGAAGTATAGTATATGAAAACATTAATTAATAGGATGAATAAAAAAAAAGGAAAATGGAAACTAATAATCCAACCTTTTAGCGGTCTTCTTACAATAATAATCCAACCTTTTGGTTATTCATGAATAATCCAACCTTTGCACCTCATCTTCATTCACTGGTCCTTGACCGGTTGATGACCTGCTATTCCAAGTTATTTTCTCATCTTTGCAAAGATAATATTTTGCAAAGATAAGAAAATAACTTGGAATAGTAGGTCATTAACCGACCAGGGACCAGTGAATGAAGATGAGGTGCAAATGTTGGATTATTCATGAATAATCAAAAGGTGGGATTATTGAAAGAAGACCGCTAAAAGGTTGGATTATTAGTTTCCATTTTCCCTAAAAAAAAATGGGATAAAGATACTCGGGAAAAATTACTTTATTTCTTCATATTTAATTTTTCTTCCTATATTTGGCGGTTGCCGCCCACAATTAATATGTAGTACGAAATATAAGAATGAGTTATGAAAATATGTTAATTAGCTATTGAAACTTGCTAAAGGTACACCATGGGTTACATAGGGTACACCCAATATAACCCACCCTCCATTTTTTTTCATCCCTCCCTCGGTCCCTCCCCAGTCCCCACTCAATTCTTCACCTAAACAAAACGACATGTCAATTATTCGTCAGAACATACGGAGGAGTATTAAACTTGAGCTCATTTTTAGCCTAAGTAGTCATCCAAGTATAGCCATTATTAACTAAAATTTTAAGTGTTCTCGGTTTCTCACTTCTCACCCCAAAACGATCTGAGAACTAAAATTGCTTATTTACCACTTGATGCTTATTTATGGGAATAAAAATATGTGTCTATAGTAGTGCCTTTGAAATTTGAAACGCTGAGCTCAAACATCTCTATATTTGGGAGTAGGGGTGGATTCAGGTCGGGCCACCAGGCCCGTGGACCGGCCCGGCCCGCTACTGTGCGGGACCGGGACCGGCCCAATTCTTGGGTCCGGGTCCGGGTCGGGCCTAGGCCCGGGGGAGGGTGGGTCCGGGCTCGGGTCGTGGTTTTGGCGAACCGGCCCGGACGGTTCGGGCCGGGTATCGGGCCTATTTTAATTTTTTTTTCAATTTTTTTTAACTTTTCGGGTTGGGCTGGTTATTTTGGGCCATTTGGGGTGGTTTGAGGGTGGGGGGAGGGTTAACTAGGAAAAGGCAAAAAAAATAGTAATTACCCGAGGCCCGACCCGGACCCGGGGATTACCTGGTCCGGTCCCCGGCCCCCCATTCCTGAACCGCCGGCCCTACCGGGCCTAGTCTTGGCCCGGGCCCGAACCGGCCCGGCTCCACCCCTGGGTAGATCAGGTCCGAACCCGATCCGGTCATCCAGCAGACCGGCACGATTTGGGATTGGACTAGATCCGATTTTCAAGTTTTGAGCATGGGACTGGTCTTGTCCGCCCAAGAGGGGTACCCGGTCCCGGTTCATCTATCAGGAGACCGAATCAAGCGGTTCCGATCCCGGACCAACGCTTTTTAGCATTGGAAACGGGCAAAAATGAAAAAAAAAATAGAACGGGACAGGGTCTGGATCGGTACTAGACCAACTGGGTACCCTATACCGGTCTAGACCTGGATTTAACCGTGTCAGACCCGGGCTTCTCCAACCCATGACTGGAACCGACCAATCTAGATTCCAGAACCAAACCAGGACCGAGTCCACCCCTATTTGGGACTTGGGGTAACCTAAATTATTTTTGGTGAAACTGAACGTAAATTATTTTCTACATTGTAAGAGGGTAATGAAAATTGCAAGTATTCATATCGATAGAAATGTGTGTATTTAATTAATGTAATATCATTTCATAATATCGAAATTGGTTAAAAGATCTAAGTCATAAAAATATCAAATACTTCAGTCACGTTCAAGGGTTCCTCTATCAATGCGAAAACCCCAAAATAGTACAGAGCACGTAGTAATCATAGAGTACGTAGTTCAAGAGTTACATATGATTACAACCTTCAAACACATATGACGGCCTAAAAAGAAAAGTGAGAAATTTTTTGCAAGAGGGAGTATTGAAATGATATTTTTCTGACAAGGTTGTAATCATATGTGTTTGAAGTCACAAAAGATTACATTTAAGTTATGTATTTAGCTATATAACATCGACCTTTGATAGAAAATTTGTTCATGATAGTTCACAAGTGAAACATTTCTTATATTGAACATATGCCCCGTAATTGTACCAATATATTTCTACCAAAAATAAAATTTATATATTGATACCAATAAACATTTCTTAATTGAATAAAATGGAGGAATTTAGTAACATAATGATTTACCAAAAATTAGAGGAACTTGTTTCATTGATTAAATTCCACATTCCCACGGTTTAGATTTTCTGCTTACATTAATCAAGTCTTCATTAATGCAACCAACGCTCCTAATAGTCCTCATTAATGAGTAATGACCAAACTAGCTACAAGCTTCACAAAGACCTTACTTATCCACAAAAGGATCAGAACAATTTCTTTAAGACAAACTGGCCCGATCCAGACTATCAGCAACTGTTCTCATCCGAGGCCGAAGCTCGGGATCCAACTCCGTGCAACTTAGGGCAATGTGAAATGTTGCCAGGACCTGCTTCTTGCATTGAACCTCAGGCAACAAGTGACGATCTATAATCTCCGACAAAGGCTTTTCCTCCTTGAAAGCCACCCTCACCATCTCATCAAGTCCCTTGCCATCACCCTCGGCTCCCCCATCACGCACCCGACCCGTTAAAATCTCCAAAAGCACTACCCCGAAAGAATACACATCGCATTTCTGCGTTAACTTGGGGACTGGAAAGCGGGTTTCGGGTTTCGTGTTGGTGGTGGTAGTCTTTTTGGAAGATGAAGTTGTGAGTCTGGATGAGTTGGGCGCAAGGCGGGTTAATCCGAACCCAGAGATGTAAGGCATTAGGTCATCATCAAGGAGAATTTTTGATGATTTTATGTTGCCATGAACATACCGTTTGGGGCTGCACTCGTGAATGTGGGTCAGACCCCGGGCGATCCCTTTGGCGATCTTCAATCTATCAGCCCATGACAGTGGTTGCAAGGAAACGCCAGGTCCACCTGGATCAGTTAAACGTGAACATCAACAGCAGAAAGCAATAAGACTATTCTTCAAACCAATAAAGATTTTGTGTTCCATTTTAATAGAAGTACCCCAAGAAGTTATATAATGGGTTTTTTTGATATGAGATTGTAGACAAAAACCAACTTCGGAAGAGGCTTAATGGAATTAAAAACCTGTATCATGGGGTAAAAATTGGTTGAAATGAACGGATTTGATAATTTATCTAAAGCACACTAAAAATATAGTAATTTTAAAAATAATTCATTGAGATAATGACTAATATATGCGCACACATTGGGAATTCATTTTTACCCATCCTTTCGCTAAAAAAAGAACCTTTTCACTAGTTCTTTTATCACCAATCTAACAATCCAAGCATTAAGCCAAAGCATCAATTAAAGGGGAACTCCGGATGATAAAGAGAATTAGACAAATGAAGCAGGAACTGAACAAGTAAAAGCTATGAAAAATGCCTTGAACAAAACAGTAGTAGTTTTCCAACTATATTGCAATCAATTTTTACAATATATAAGCATTTATAGAACTGCATAATTCTCACCAGTCAGTCATCTCCAAATTATTAAAATAGGCAACATACTTTGGTCAAGCATCCCTTTTTACCCCCCACCCCCGTATCAATGCCAATATCTGAAAATGTAGCCTACTTACCTACCTACCCACATATCCTTTTTATGTACTATACCTTCTTCAGAGTGGTTTTATGTATTTATGGTGATATAAGTAGCAGCAGCAGCCTGACAAGTCATCACTATGGTTGTACCCAAACACTCTTCATTTTGGTTGGTACCAATTATTTAATATGGAAACATCTGCATCCCTTATCTTAAAGACTTGGTTTGGTTTGGGGATTTTGAAGAGAAGGTGAAGGGATGGTTGATTTTCGTTTAAGTATTCTTTGAATCTATATTTATAAGTCTTAGATAAGAAATAAAAAAACTAAAACTGTCTATACTTTGTTCCATACTTCTCTATTCCAACTTTGTGTTCCATACCGTATTTGGATGCATAAATTTTAGTGTAAATTTAAATCAGACATGAATTTGATTACATGATGTTCTATTACTCCTTACCAAACACTGCCTAAGAACCAAACAGAAGAGAATTGATTGTTTACCATGTAAAGCATTATGCAAACTCCCATTGCTGATGAAATCTGTAACTAGAAGTTTCTCATTACTGCCATAGTAATAGGCTCTCAATCTAACAATGTTGGGATGTTGGACTCTTCCAATGGCCTCGACCTCCGATTCGAACTCCTTGATCCGCCACACCGCATCTCCTTCACTTAACCGCCTCACCGCCACCACAGTGTCACCGCCACTGCCCACCACCATCGATCCCTTCCCACGGCCGCCTGACACCACCTTGTACACTATCCCGCTCCTACCATTCCCTACTTGAAACGCGGATGCCTTTAGCAAATCATCTAATTCCAACCAGAACCCTTCGTCTAACGCCACAAACTTCCCCTTTTGACTGTCTTCCTTCCTGCACTTCTCTGGCATGCCCAATGTCTCTTTCCCGATTTTTCCCTCCGTCCAATTCTGTTTCTTTCGGTACACCCACAAGCTGACCAACGCTACTCCGACCACTGCCAAGAAGACGGAAATCAGAGAACCGGTCACCAACCCATACCTTGCTCTACCTCTATCGACACGCTCATTTGCGAAATCAGCAGGGCTTCGGGGATTTGCCGGTTCAGTCCAGCCGCTAGGGTTTCCCGCTGCCTGTTCCGGGCATGGAATCTCCAATGGGAATCCGCAAAGGTAGGGGTTCCCGGAAAACGCGGTGGGCCCCTGGTTCAACAGTGACCCTGCCGGAGGTACCTTCCCCGTAAGGTTGTTGTGCCGGAGGTCCAAGCTCAGAACAACCGGGAACAGCCCGTACGTCGCCGGGATTTCTCCGGAAAACCTGTTATACGAGAGATTCAAAGTTCCGGCGAGGTTGGGAAGGGTGTAGAGCTCCTCCGGGAGAGACCCATTGAGGAGATTGGAAGAGAGGTCGAGGTGACGGATTTTACTGAGGCTAGTGATCTGGTGCGGCAAGGGTCCAGAGAAGGAGTTGTGGGAGAGGTCGAGGTAGAGCAGAGATGAGGCATTGAAGAGGTGGGAGGGAATAGGGTTGGAGAAGTTGTTGAAAGCGAGAGAAAGAAATGAGAGGGAAGAGAGAGCTCCGAGCTCCGACGGGATGTAGCCGGCGAGGCCGGCGTTGGGTAAGGAAATGGAGGCGACCCTTTGGGTGTTGGGGTCACATGTGATTCCAGCCCAGCGGCAAGGGGTCGAGTCCAGCTCGTACCAGGTGGCGAGGAGCTGAGTTGGGTCAGCTGTAATGGCGGATTTCAGAGCTAAGAGCGAGAGACCATCCGAATTGAGGGCTAGAGATGCAGGAACTAGAAACGCTGTCAGCAAGAAGGCGAGGAAGAGAATGGACCGGAATGGGGAATTGCTGCAACTGAAATGCTTCGTCATATTAATGGAATGAACCCTTTTACATCATCCATTCATTCATTGATTCATGGGTTTAAAAGCGAAAAAGGGGAAAAGAGGATTCAATCTTTTGCAAGAATAAAAAGGAAGGATATCTAGAGGGGTTGGTTGGTGGGTTATCTTCGAGGTTCTACAAGACTGGCTGCTTGGAGGAAGAGAAGAAGAATCACTTTGTCTTGACGTGGGATGGCTACGAGGTATTTTTTTTTTTTAAATTTCCCTTAGACTATTATGCCGTGTTTGGTACTTTGCTATAAGGAAGGTATATTTCTTTTCTTTTGTTTCTAATCTTGTATTGGAGTACGAATCACACACACATCTATACGTTCCTTTCCTTTTTTGGTTACAATAATAATAATTTAAATTTCACATTGAACTTATGACTTTTGTCATTAATCCATTGTATTACGGAGTACTTATTAAGATTATATAGGATGTTTTTACTTGGTGTAATTTGCTGGTCTGGTCTGATCTGGTCTGGTCTGGTCTGAACTGGTCTGGTCTGGTCTGGTAAGGTCTGGTTTCTTTGTATTTTATAACTATCCAAGTCTGGTCTGGTCTGGTCTGGTCTGAACTGGTCTGGTCTGGTCTGGACTGGTCTGGTCTGGTCTGGGACAAATTACAGTCCAAGTAAAAACATCCATAGTCTCCTCGTCTGATAGACAAGTTTCTAATTACACCTAAACACACATTTACGTATGGAAAACATGTGGTATGACTTTCAATATGGCTTTTAATACTCCCTCTTTTTTTTTGAAAGATTGCTACATTTTCTTATTTAAAAGTTTGTTACACTTTACTTATTTGGTAATTTTTAAAAAAAAATACTCCATTATCCTTACTTTTTTTACTTTTATCTTCTATTTCCTACTTTTCCATTTCTCTCCTAATTTTTCTTCACTACTCATTACTTCTACTATTTTTTTTAAAATATTGTGTCAAAAGGTATTGTAGAGAACATATAAATATATGAAAGAAGTATAGAGAGTTTGTCATTATGTCAAATCAAATAAAAAACAAAAACATGGGTAATAGTGGTGTTTTGTTATAAATCCTGTAGAATTGCAAAGTATGATCGATGAAGAGAAAGCGGAAGCAGTAATCAAATGAAGAAGATGAATAATATGAAACCCTTGTGTTGAATAGGGTTGTAATTCAGTATTTATACAAAAGGGCTAAAACAGGCTATTCTATAATAAAAGGAGATGGACTAATATAACAAGCCCAATAATATAAAATCTGGTCCAGCCTATTATTCTTTAGACGCCCCCTCAAGATGAGCATGGATGTCCAACAGGTTCATCTTGTTTGCAAAGTGACTAAAGAGAGGATTCCCAAGTGGTTTGGTGTATATATCTGCAAGTTGACAACTATTAGGAATATGTGTAAGATTAATGAGTCAAGAATTAATTTTCTCTCTTATTAAATGACAATCTAATTCAATGTGTTTAGTTCTTTGATGTTGAATAGGATTATGTGCAAGATAATAGGTAGATTTATTATCAGTGTAAAAGGTAATTGGTAAAGAAGTAGGAATATGTAAATCTTGAACAATGTAAATAAGCCATTGAGCCTCACAAACTGCATTTGCAGCAGCCCTATACTCTGCTTCAGTAGATGATCTACTGACAACAGACTGTTTCTTAGATTTCCATGAAATCAATGATTTTCCTAAATAAAAACAATAACCAGAAATGCTTCTTCTTGTATCAACACAAGATCCCCAATCAGAATCAGTGTATGCCTGAATATCAAAATTAGATGTAGAAGGATAGAACAGACCTTTTCCTGGTGAGTTTTTGAGATATCGTAATACCCTATGAGCAGCTGTCATATGGATATTAGTAGGACAGGAAAGAAATTGACTAAGAGTTTGTACAGAATAAGCAATATCAGGCCTTGTGACAGTAAGATAAAGTAATCTACCTATTAGAGTTCTATAAGTTTTAGGATTAGTTAAAAGAGTGCCTTCATTTTTTGAAAGTTTATGTTTAGAGTCTGATATGCACTAATTAGTAGTGCATAAGTGTATGTTTTTAAGTTTGATTTGTGTGTATTGTTTATCGTTTTATTTAGTTTATAAACATTTGTGTGATTTTAGTTGTAATTGTATTTTAGTTCTCATTTGTAAGTTGTAAAGTAGAGTTAGGATTTATGGTGTTGGAAAGGAAGACTTTGAATGTGAAGACAAATAATTCTTGGCTGCCCAGGACAATCACCCGGTCGGGTGAGGCATTGCACCCGGTCGGGTGAGAAATTTAAATGCGAAACTGCTCAGGAAATTACATCACCCGGTCGGGTGAGGTATTTCACCCGGTCGGGTCCGACTTGACCCGGAACACCAGAACGTGCCGAAGATCGCCAGAACGTGGAAGATATTTGATTTTGACATGCACCCGGTCGGGTGGGCACTTTACCCGGTCGGGTACCCGGCCAAAGGTGTTGAAAAACACCTATAAATAGCCCCATTTTCCTTCACAAATCATCAATCCCTTCTTCCATACTCTTAAGCTCAGTTTAGAATAGTATTTCTTTTATATTTTTATAGCATGTTTAGTCTCCAAATGAGGAGCTAAACTCTTCCATCTTGGTTTTGCTACTTCGAAGCTTAATGAATTTGTAAGTTGTGAGTTATTATCTTTAATCTTCTTCCTTGAATATTAATTCTTTCTTTAAATACTATTTCTATATCAATGTTGGGGAGTGTTACTAAGATGACAATTAGTTAACATCTTGACATTAGTTATAGTAATAGTTATTTCTTCCTCTACGTTAATATCGGGGAGTGTTACTAAGATGACAATTAGTTAACATCTTGATATTAACTATAGTAGGATTCATCTTCTTTAATATTCTTTCTTGAGTATTAATTAATTCCTATTCATATTTCATATTAATATTTTGAACATTACTTAAAGGATCAACTAGTTTTGTTTCATATATTAATTATTACTAGAATCAATCGGTTAATACGCTTGTTATTAATTCGGTTCTTTCAATGGTAGTAAACTTGGGTTGTTAATGCATGCTTCTCATGATTAATAAGCCAAGGGGAATTAATTATATTGATTAAACCAATAAACCGCTTGTGTTGAGGTTATCAATCTCAATCGTTTTCATCTTGATTTTATTGCTACTATCAAGTTAATATACGGCGCTTGTTCTATATTGACTCGGAAGTAAGTTTTATTAATGAACGCGTCTCGTTATTAATAACTACCCTCGATGAATTGGATATACTCCTCAATTGAGTATTCGAGAGGAAGATAGTTAAAGATATAACCGGGATCGACGAACATTTCATTAAGTGGATAAAAGCAAAACCAAGTCTTCTTCTCATTAAGTAAACCACATAACTCGTTCATCTTCGTGTTTAATTCTAATTAAATCACTCAAACCTGAACCCCCCCTTTTGTTACTAGTTAATTAAAAAGAGAAATATTCCTTTCCCTGTGGATACGAACCTTACTTCATTATACTACGTATAATTGTTGTATTGAATATTATTTTGAGTGCACACCACGACAAAGTGCACGTCAAATTTGGCGCCGTTGCCGGGGAAAGGCAATTATTTTTCTTTTTATTTTATTTCAAGAAAAATAAACAAAAAATAATAAAAAAAAAAACAAAACAAAAAAAAATCTTACTCTTCTATTTTCTGAGCTTACATGAGTTATGAGTATATGGATACCAACACATCATCCTTAGAGAGTCAAATTTCCTTCTTGACTTCTCTAATAAAGGAATATATTTTAAGCTCAGAAGCTCAAGATGCCAAAACATGCAACATTTGCATGTCTCACGGACATCTTACGGATTTTTGCCCAAAACTCCAACAAGAATACCTTGAGAATTTTGATTATGTTGGCTTCCAAAGGAAAGTACCTCACATGATGTATGATCCATTCTCCAACATGTCTACGGAGGACATGCTTCGGACTCTTACTACCAACATGACCATCATGCAAAACAATATGGTGCAATTCCAAAATGAGACCAAGTCTAAAATTTTAAACTTGGAAACTCAAGTGAGTCAAATAGCCGGAGCTATGAGTGGGCTCGAAGCAAGGGATTCAGGACAACTTTCCTCTCAAATAGAATGTGATCCTAAACAGCAAACTTTTGCAATCACAGTGACAATTGAGAAGGAAATGCAAAAGGAGATCCCAAATCCAGAAGAAATACAAGAAGAAAGAAACACGGAGTTCCAGCTAGTCAAAGAAGAGAATGAACCGAGTTTCAAGGTCCAATATCTGACCTTATCATCCTTTGAGGTATCTCCATCATCCCTGTACTCTTTAAGAGAAACTCATAAACTTGAAAAGGACAATGGCATTTCTGAAATCTCCTTCAAAATTGAGGGATCGAAAAACTTCTCATTGACCATGCTAAACGATAATTTCTTCCCCTTCCTCCCACCACATGAATCAATAAAAATCTGGATATTTGATCCTGGAAAGATTTCCAAAGTGAAGAGTCGAGAAATTTATCATTCCTATGAAGGTCCTAGGAGTGAAAGTGTGAAGAAGATAAACTATCACGATCCAAGTTTAAATGACTGAACACAATGATGGCGTCGTGCCGCGACGTTAAATAAGGCGCTTCTTGGGAGGCAACCCATGTAAGGTACGTTTACTTTTTATTCTAGTTTAAGTTTACACTTCAAAAAAAAAAAAAGAGGCCTGGGGATTGAACCCGGCCCGGTATAAAACCCAACCCGGTCGGGCCCCTTCATAAAACACAGCACCCGGCCGAATCACCCGGGCGAGGCAGTTGTGGAATAGAGGAAAAATGAACATACCCGACCGGGTAACTTCAATACACCCGGCCGGGTCGTCGCGAATTCTTTCACCGACTGAGCTGGCCACCCTCTTCCTCACTTCCTCTTCTGCAAACACGAACCAAACTCCGCCAAAACACCATTTTCAAACTCCATACATTTGAATCCTCTCCATTTCTACACCAAATCCATCAAAAACAAATCATGCTCATCATCTCCTCCTCACCCTCTACATTTCCATACCCACCAAACAACCCACAACCCACCAAAAATCCAAATCACCTTACTCCACAAACAGCAAAAGCCGAAATTTCCTCAACCAAAAAGAAAGAAATGACACCAAAAAGGGCAAAGAGATTCATTCTCTTGGACATCTCGGACACAAGCACTAGGGACAGTGCTTTGATTAGCATGGGGGGAGAAGTTCAGGGAAAACTCACATTCATACTCTATATTCTTGAGTTTTTTTTTTTCAAAAAAAAAAACAAAAAAAAAACACAAAAAAAAGAGAGAATAAAGCTTGTTAAGTTGAAAACCTGAAAAGGCAACTTAAGCAAAAATAAAGCAAAAATAAGAGTGAGTTGTGAGGATTGAAACATAAAAATGTGGGAAGCTGGGATGAAAACTCGAAAGGGCACCTAGGCAAAATGAGAGAATGAGAGAAAGTATTTTTTTTTATTTCTGCAGGATCCTAAGGGTAACGAAAAAAAGAATTGAGGTTGATAAGAGATATGGAGTTGAAGACCCCTCTTTACTCTTATATTTTTGGAGATATTTTTTGGTTTACTCGAGACGAGTAAAGGTTCAAGTGTGGGGGTATTTGATATGCACTAATTAGTAGTGCATAAGTGTATGTTTTTAAGTTTGATTTGTGTGTATTGTTTATCGTTTTATTTAGTTTATAAACATTTGTGTGATTTTAGTTGTAATTGTATTTTAGTTCTCATTTGTAAGTTGTAAAGTAGAGTTAGGATTTATGGTGTTGGAAAGGAAGACTTTGAATGTGAAGACAAATAATTCTTGGCTGCCCAGGACAATCACCCGGTCGGGTGAGGCATTGCACCCGGTCGGGTGAGAAATTTAAATGCGAAACTGCTCAGGAAATTACATCACCCGGTCGGGTGAGGTATTTCACCCGGTCGGGTCCGACTTGACCCGGAACACCAGAACGTGCCGAAGATCGCCAGAACGTGGAAGATATTTGATTTTGACATGCACCCGGTCGGGTGGGCACTTTACCCGGTCGGGTACCCGGCCAAAGGTGTTGAAAAACACCTATAAATAGCCCCATTTTCCTTCACAAATCATCAATCCCTTCTTCCATACTCTTAAGCTCAGTTTAGAATAGTATTTCTTTTATATTTTTATAGCATGTTTAGTCTCCAAATGAGGAGCTAAACTCTTCCATCTTGGTTTTGCTACTTCGAAGCTTAATGAATTTGTAAGTTGTGAGTTATTATCTTTAATCTTCTTCCTTGAATATTAATTCTTTCTTTAAATACTATTTCTATATCAATGTTGGGGAGTGTTACTAAGATGACAATTAGTTAACATCTTGACATTAGTTATAGTAATAGTTATTTCTTCCTCTACGTTAATATCGGGGAGTGTTACTAAGATGACAATTAGTTAACATCTTGATATTAACTATAGTAGGATTCATCTTCTTTAATATTCTTTCTTGAGTATTAATTAATTCCTATTCATATTTCATATTAATATTTTGAACATTACTTAAAGGATCAACTAGTTTTGTTTCATATATTAATTATTACTAGAATCAATCGGTTAATACGCTTGTTATTAATTCGGTTCTTTCAATGGTAGTAAACTTGGGTTGTTAATGCATGCTTCTCATGATTAATAAGCCAAGGGGAATTAATTATATTGATTAAACCAATAAACCGCTTGTGTTGAGGTTATCAATCTCAATCGTTTTCATCTTGATTTTATTGCTACTATCAAGTTAATATACGGCGCTTGTTCTATATTGACTCGGAAGTAAGTTTTATTAATGAACGCGTCTCGTTATTAATAACTACCCTCGATGAATTGGATATACTCCTCAATTGAGTATTCGAGAGGAAGATAGTTAAAGATATAACCGGGATCGACGAACATTTCATTAAGTGGATAAAAGCAAAACCAAGTCTTCTTCTCATTAAGTAAACCACATAACTCGTTCATCTTCGTGTTTAATTCTAATTAAATCACTCAAACCTGAACCCCCCCTTTTGTTACTAGTTAATTAAAAAGAGAAATATTCCTTTCCCTGTGGATACGAACCTTACTTCATTATACTACGTATAATTGTTGTATTGAATATTATTTTGAGTGCACACCACGACAAAGTGCACGTCAAATTTGGCGCCGTTGCCGGGGAAAGGCAATTATTTTTCTTTTTATTTTATTTCAAGAAAAATAAACAAAAAATAATAAAAAAAAAAACAAAACAAAAAAAAATCTTACTCTTCTATTTTCTGAGCTTACATGAGTTATGAGTATATGGATACCAACACATCATCCTTAGAGAGTCAAATTTCCTTCTTGACTTCTCTAATAAAGGAATATATTTTAAGCTCAGAAGCTCAAGATGCCAAAACATGCAACATTTGCATGTCTCACGGACATCTTACGGATTTTTGCCCAAAACTCCAACAAGAATACCTTGAGAATTTTGATTATGTTGGCTTCCAAAGGAAAGTACCTCACATGATGTATGATCCATTCTCCAACATGTCTACGGAGGACATGCTTCGGACTCTTACTACCAACATGACCATCATGCAAAACAATATGGTGCAATTCCAAAATGAGACCAAGTCTAAAATTTTAAACTTGGAAACTCAAGTGAGTCAAATAGCCGGAGCTATGAGTGGGCTCGAAGCAAGGGATTCAGGACAACTTCCCTCTCAAATAGAATGTGATCCTAAACAGCAAACTTTTGCAATCACAGTGACAATTGAGAAGGAAATGCAAAAGGAGATCCCAAATCCAGAAGAAATACAAGAAGAAAGAAACACGGAGTTCCAGCTAGTCAAAGAAGAGAATGAACCGAGTTTCAAGGTCCAATATCTGACCTTATCATCCTTTGAGGTATCTCCATCATCCCTGTACTCTTTAAGAGAAACTCATAAACTTGAAAAGGACAATGGCATTTCTGAAATCTCCTTCAAAATTGAGGGATCGAAAAACTTCTCATTGACCATGCTAAACGATAATTTCTTCCCCTTCCTCCCACCACATGAATCAATAAAAATCTGGATATTTGATCCTGGAAAGATTTCCAAAGTGAAGAGTCGAGAAATTTATCATTCCTATGAAGGTCCTAGGAGTGAAAGTGTGAAGAAGATAAACTATCACGATCCAAGTTTAAATGACTGAACACAATGATGGCGTCGTGCCGCGACGTTAAATAAGGCGCTTCTTGGGAGGCAACCCATGTAAGGTACGTTTACTTTTTATTCTAGTTTAAGTTTACACTTCAAAAAAAAAAAAAAGAGGCCTGGGGATTGAACCCGGCCCGGTATAAAACCCAACCCGGTCGGGCCCCTTCATAAAACACAGCACCCGGCCGAATCACCCGGGCGAGGCAGTTGTGGAATAGAGGAAAAATGAACATACCCGACCGGGTAACTTCAATACACCCGGCCGGGCATGTTCATTAAAAACATTCTGGATAAGCGGGAGTTAGGCCCGACCGGGTCAACTTACCCCACCCGGCCGGGTCGTCGCGAATTCTTTCACCGACTGAGCTGGCCACCCTCTTCCTCACTTCCTCTTCTGCAAACACGAACCAAACTCCGCCAAAACACCATTTTCAAACTCCATACATTTGAATCCTCTCCATTTCTACACCAAATCCATCAAAAACAAATCATGCTCATCATCTCCTCCTCACCCTCTACATTTCCATACCCACCAAACAACCCACAACCCACCAAAAATCCAAATCACCTTACTCCACAAACAGCAAAAGCCGAAATTTCCTCAACCAAAAAGAAAGAAATGACACCAAAAAGGGCAAAGAGATTCATTCTCTTGGACATCTCGGACACAAGCACTAGGGACAGTGCTTTGATTAGCATGGGGGGAGAAGTTCAGGGAAAACTCACATTCATACTCTATATTCTTGAGTTTTTTTTTTTTTCAAAAAAAAAAACACAAAAAAAACACAAAAAAAAAGAGAGAATAAAGCTTGTTAAGTTGAAAACCTGAAAAGGCAACTTAAGCAAAAATAAAGCAAAAATAAGAGTGAGTTGTGAGGATTGAAACATAAAAATGTGGGAAGCTGGGATGAAAACTCGAAAGGGCACCTAGGCAAAATGAGAGAATGAGAGAAAGTATTTTTTTTTATTTCTGCAGGATCCTAAGGGTAACGAAAAAAAGAATTGAGGTTGATAAGAGATATGGAGTTGAAGACCCCTCTTTACTCTTATATTTTTGGAGATATTTTTTGGTTTACTCGAGACGAGTAAAGGTTCAAGTGTGGGGGTATTTGATATGCACTAATTAGTAGTGCATAAGTGTATGTTTTTAAGTTTGATTTGTGTGTATTGTTTATCGTTTTATTTAGTTTATAAACATTTGTGTGATTTTAGTTGTAATTGTATTTTAGTTCTCATTTGTAAGTTGTAAAGTAGAGTTAGGATTTATGGTGTTGGAAAGGAAGACTTTGAATGTGAAGACAAATAATTCTTGGCTGCCCAGGACAATCACCCGGTCGGGTGAGGCATTGCACCCGGTCGGGTGAGAAATTTAAATGCGAAACTGCTCAGGAAATTACATCACCCGGTCGGGTGAGGTATTTCACCCGGTCGGGTCCGACTTGACCCGGAACACCAGAACGTGCCGAAGATCGCCAGAACGTGGAAGATATTTGATTTTGACATGCACCCGGTCGGGTGGGCACTTTACCCGGTCGGGTACCCGGCCAAAGGTGTTGAAAAACACCTATAAATAGCCCCATTTTCCTTCACAAATCATCAATCCCTTCTTCCATACTCTTAAGCTCAGTTTAGAATAGTATTTCTTTTATATTTTTATAGCATGTTTAGTCTCCAAATGAGGAGCTAAACTCTTCCATCTTGGTTTTGCTACTTCGAAGCTTAATGAATTTGTAAGTTGTGAGTTATTATCTTTAATCTTCTTCCTTGAATATTAATTCTTTCTTTAAATACTATTTCTATATCAATGTTGGGGAGTGTTACTAAGATGACAATTAGTTAACATCTTGACATTAGTTATAGTAATAGTTATTTCTTCCTCTACGTTAATATCGGGGAGTGTTACTAAGATGACAATTAGTTAACATCTTGATATTAACTATAGTAGGATTCATCTTCTTTAATATTCTTTCTTGAGTATTAATTAATTCCTATTCATATTTCATATTAATATTTTGAACATTACTTAAAGGATCAACTAGTTTTGTTTCATATATTAATTATTACTAGAATCAATCGGTTAATACGCTTGTTATTAATTCGGTTCTTTCAATGGTAGTAAACTTGGGTTGTTAATGCATGCTTCTCATGATTAATAAGCCAAGGGGAATTAATTATATTGATTAAACCAATAAACCGCTTGTGTTGAGGTTATCAATCTCAATCGTTTTCATCTTGATTTTATTGCTACTATCAAGTTAATATACGGCGCTTGTTCTATATTGACTCGGAAGTAAGTTTTATTAATGAACGCGTCTCGTTATTAATAACTACCCTCGATGAATTGGATATACTCCTCGATTGAGTATTCGAGAGGAAGATAGTTAAAGATATAACCGGGATCGACGAACATTTCATTAAGTGGATAAAAGCAAAACCAAGTCTTCTTCTCATTAAGTAAACCACATAACTCGTTCATCTTCGTGTTTAATTCTAATTAAATCACTCAAACCTGAACCCCCCCTTTTGTTACTAGTTAATTAAAAAGAGAAATATTCCTTTCCCTGTGGATACGAACCTTACTTCATTATACTACGTATAATTGTTGTATTGAATATTATTTTGAGTGCACACCACGACAAAGTGCACGTCAGAGTCCATAGGAGTAGAAGAAGGTTTAGAATCAAGATATCCAAAGTCAGAAAGAATATCAAGAGTGTATTTTCTTTGATTTAAAACAAGTCCAGTTTCAGATCTAGCAACTTCTATTCCTAATATGTATTTTAGTTCACCAAGATCTTTGATTGTAAACTTATGATGTAAGAAAGTTTGAACAGAATTTATTTCATTCATATCATTACCTGCAAGAATAAGATCATCAACATAAAGTAAAATCACAGTAAAAGAAACATCAGTAGCTTTAGTAAAAAGAGAAAAATCTGCTTGAGATTGTTTATAACCAAAAGATTTCAAAGATTCGGAAAGTTTAAAATACCACTGCCTAGAAGCTTGTTTTAAACCATATAGACTTTTGAGAAGTTTACAGACTCTATGGTCATTATCAGCTAAGTAT